CCTTCGCCACTCCATCTGGTGTACCACAAGGCAGTGTTCTCGGTTCTCTTATTTCTATCATCTATGTGAATGACTTGTGTGAGCTGCTCTCATCGTCCAAACTGTCTTATGCTGATGACCTAAAATTGTTTCGTGTAATTGTTACTCCTGCTGACTTTGTTGCAGTACAAGAAGAGTCTGATGCGGTGACAACGGCATGCGAGTCAACAGCAAAAAATGCTTTTGTGATATCCTTCACCAGCAGCAATAGCGTTACTCTTCATCCATACTGCATGGGACCGGATTCCTTCCTAGTGTGACTATGGCATAACCAGACACTCCCGGGTAACTAGCTCAGTAGCATGAGACCCCTGAACTAAGTCGCAGGGCCGGCATGTTACTGGGTATTCGGAGGGGCTACGCGGACAAAGTATGAAACACAGGAATCTTCACATTTTCTAACATATTTATTTGCCCTTTTCTGTGGCGTGTGGGTGTGGGTTTTCCCATGAATGTGGCGTGTATGCGAGAGTTAACGGTACGGTACTCACTGTTGCAGCAGATTCTCCTTCGGCGTCGCGACGCTGGCGTTGGCCCACACGGCTGCTCCTGCACTACCGTGTGGCCGGAAACTTGCGGCGCGGGCTGCAGACAGTGTAGTTGCCGCTTTGGGAGAATGGCGGATCTGGTGGCGTTCATCAGCCACATACGGCTCAGCAGGCGTTGCTGGCTCGTTTGGCTGGCAGGCGTCTTCCGTCGTTGACAAAATCGGCTGACCGTGGCATGGCCACCTTGGTCGAGCCGAGACGGGACCCTCCTTGGCAATTAAGGCCACCGGCCTGAGGGAATCGTCCCTGACGGACGATCGAGGATCATTTACTATTAGGCTCGGAAGCCATCTTGACTTCCGAGCCGAGCCGTGTAAAACCGTTTTGCTTACGGTACGAGGTGTACATTTTGTACAAAAGCACAAGAGGTCCTGAGAATTATCAAATTCAGTCAGGGAAATTTCCGTCAGGATAATAAAATTCAATTACCTGAACGGAGATAGGCTTTCCAGCCCAAACCCCCACAAGGGGGGGGGGGGGGAGTTATTGTATATGCACTACACTTCACGATACCGGTCTACACGGACGCCTGATTACTTCTGCCAATTAGAAGGTTTTTTCTTTTACAACATGGCCACTCGCATGCCTTTTGCCGATCATTCTCCATTTTTAGCTTAATTGTCCTCCCTTTAGTATCTTTCGAGTGTTTTTGCAGCGGTACTAACCCTCTTGCTGCTATGTGTTGCCTTCTGTCTTTTAAATTAAAATACGTGAATTTTCCAAACAACAACAACTCATACAAACGAAAATCCACGGATTGTAACCAACTGGTTACACTAGAACGTGTAAACTCAATCTGCGATCTATGCGTTACGATCGATTCCAGGTTAACGTTTTGCGAACACATAAGCATCGTAACTGTCACTGTGCTGGGTTTCATTCGTCGTCATGCTTCTGGTTTCACCGACGTTTATTGCCTCAAGACACTATTCTGCTCGCTGGTTCGTAGTATCTTAGAATATGCTTCCCCAGTGTGGTCTCCATTTTACACTACGCATATTCTTACGATTGAACGGATTCAGAATAATTTCATGAGGTCAGCTCCCATGGAATGATCTAGTCATTCTTCCCAGTTATCCAGACCGATGCATGCTGATTGATTTAGAATCTCTCTCAGCAAGGCGTATAAAATTGCAACGACTGTTCATCTTCGACCTAATCACCGGCAATGTGGACTGTCCCGAACTCCTGGAACGGATTCCATGGAACATTCCTCCTCGTAGATTTCGTAACTCCCCATTACTGGCAATTCCATTCCACAGAGCTAACTTTGGATTCAATATCTGTTTTAATTTTTGCGTTTCTTTAATGATGTTTGAAGTGAGTTTAATTTTACCATGTCCAAATGTGTTTAGTAATAGAATAAGAGGTTTAGATTAAACAAGTTTTAGGTTTAAGTAATCAGTCTGTACGACGTAGTCGAAGACGGTGTGCAATAAATAAATAAATAAATAAATATAATGTATTCAAACATGTAATTCTTATGATAATCAACATTATCTGGTACTTTGAATAAATTCCAGAGGATCATAGGCCTTAGATCGGATTTTATTTCAGATAATGAAATGTTTTCACTGCAGATGACTTTTAAATTGTAACCGTTCTGTTACAAAGGTTCAATACAATATTTTAAATATGCACCATGTGATCGAGCATTCAAAAAAACTTGTGTAATACTTGCGGTGAAACCCACTGGGCAGACGATACGGCCATGCTTAACGGCCGACTGCTGAATAAGGCACGCATGGCCGCGGCAAAATGGTGACACGGAGTCACGGGTGATGAGCTGAAGGGTTCTGCGATGCTTAGAGAACGGCCATCGTTCACTTTATCTCAGGCGAGCGTGTACCAGAAGTGTCTGTGGAATACATTTTAACAGAATACAGTGCGAGTAGTGAATCAAGGTGAAGTGGAAATCACCAATTCAGCTGATTCAGGTAAAGTCGAAGTCATCCTCTAAATTGGTCCAAGGCACTAATGGATGTTACCTCCTCGCTAGGACCTTTTTTTTTCAACCAATCAAATGGTTTTCTGGTTGGCGAGTCAAAGACCGCCATTGCACGCTACGGTCTAGGTGACATTTAGTTACCTTGACCTAACCGTAAAGGACATCGTTCTCGGGCTGAAGGCCCTAAACTTCAAGGAGAATTTCCCTTCCCAGTTCGACAGAGGGCGGCCTTGCCGTCGTCAACCGGCTTCGTCAGAAGGAAGCGCCTGTGCATCGGAACCATCTCCACAAACCGCTATACCAGCCCGGTAAAACCAACCCGCCATCGCACTACTGCCGACGTTCGGTCAGCCTCGCTTCGTCCGCCATTGTCGGAATTGTACCGCAATTTCACCGAGCGGTGATACCGCCATCTTGCCGACAAGATCGGCCTTTAAGGATCTCTCTGGAACCACAGCGAGCGCTCGCTGGTCTGCAGTCGTCGTAGTCGCCATCGTCATCAAGGGTATGTGCCAATAAAATCGAACACAACACCACACAATCCACACTATCGGTAATTGGAGAAATACAGTGTTTAAATTGATCCGCGTTGTGTTTCAGTTTAATTGAAAGCTTGAGTGCCTTTTCATCCGCGTAGCCCCTCCAGTTTGCCCAGTAGTGCGCCGACTCTGAGACACAGTTCAAGGAGTCTCGTGCTGCTGAGTTGTTGTCGGGCAGAACATTAGTTTCAAAATTTATTTACATTTCCATGCGTACCGTAAGATTTGAGGAAGGGTAACAAATTGTTGAGATATTGTTGAAAATCTAACACTGTTTCATGATCGTAAACTCGGCCTGAGGATTCTAAATTCAACCTAACGCATTGTAACGCCATTTAATTCACTTCGGCATATCGGCTGAAGATAACAAATTGATTCGGTCGGAGCGCTTTTGTTGTTTTTGAGATTAATGGGAGTCAACATTCATATAACGCGTTGTTATTGACTTCGTTTGGTAAATTTTAACTGAAAATAGGAAAATAGAAATTTTCCTCAAAAAGGCGTGATAAGGTAGGCAGAAAGAGGCTAGTCTTTAAAACGACGAATTCTAGCGATATTCAATATTCGCCAAAACTGAACGGAGAATCAACGCACAATTCATTTTCTTATGATATATATAAAAAAATAATACAACACTAATCTATTTTGTAATGTTCATGTAGCTGAAACTAAAATCGATTATCGATCTATTTTATGCATCGAGAATCTTCAGTTCCATGCTATTGATTGCAAAAAATGATTGCGGGGTGAGATTGATAACTTTATACAATACTAAACTCAGTGCATGAATGTAGACTCTACAAGCGATATTCTGCGAAACAATATTTCATCAGGACACAAGAAAGCAACATGAACACGTTCCCTTCAACATAAACAAGCATAAAAGTACACAACGAACACGAACACGCAAAGCAGCCCGGAAAATCACCCCTCATCGGATGAACGGGACAGCAACATTAGCGCAACTACGATTGTCCCTTTCTTCCACTCTACCCACTAACAAACGGTACTTCTGTCGCATTTACATATTTGTGTGTCAACTAGGACTTCAATTAACTTGGTATGCGTGAGATTGGCTGGTCCAGTTGCACGGCAGGACGGAGTGCTATGTTTGAAATCACATTTTGTTTACATTCAAACCGATCGGAAATCCTTTGACAACTATTTAAAACGGTTAACATTAATTTGGCATTAGGTACAACCAAATATTTAACTAGGATTTGTGAGAAAAATTCACGATACTATCAACGACTGTCATCGTAATCTAGTAGTCAAAATCTATCTGAGTCTATTCAAAATACCACCATGGCAACGCTTACTTTGAGAAGAATTCTAATGAAATCTAACTGAATGGGAATACCAAGCTTGGTTACATTAGATTTCTTTTTTAAAGATGCTTGCAGTCGTGTGCTGGTTCAAAATCAGAAGCTTGATTTACAGATTTACATGAAAAGTATGCAGAATTGGCAATGTTTCGCGACATGAACAGATTCTGTAATGAGCTTGCCGGAAGGATTTTAAAATAATTTTGTAATTTTTATGCTAGCTTATTTTTCGAACAAAGTTTGTTTCCCCACCCCACAAATGCAATACATTTGTTGTATGAAACATGTACAGAGGATGTAATACATCCAACCTTCCATTGGATGTAAGAGAAATTTGTTTTGCAGTGTAATAATTCATCGTAAGCCTATAAAAAAAATCACGAATTTCAAAGATTTGTAGACATTTTCATCGAAAATTTAAACCTAGACTAAAAGTGCCCACAGCACAGCGCAGCACAATGACCAAAGGACGACTTTAAAAATATCCCATCAAACCGCCATAGAAAGTAATTTCACGGTTAATTTGTTATTTTTTCTCTTCACCACTCTTCCATCCATCTCGCTTTCTCACCACAGTCTCGATCTATATTCTATTTCACAGGTCTGGTTTCAGAACCGCCGGGCCAAATATCGCAAGCAAGAAAAGCAATTACAGAAAGCGCTCGCCCCCTCGGTGATACCGTCGTGCAATGGCATGATGCGAAACATACAAGGCTACAGCGTGTCCCGAGGTTATCAACCGTATCCCCATCCAAACTCAATCAATCGATATCCGCAGGTGAGAATCAGTTTATGGTCTCCCATTCTGCTCCCGCTCCGATTTCGCAACAACGACTGACACTTCCCACAACATCGTCATCATCGACACCGCAGTTCATTTGACGGTTGATGACTTTAATTTCGACACTAATCGATGCTTCAATCACCACTCACATGATTTACTTTTTTTTTTTTGCTTCAAACCTTTCATCCACAGGATCTCTTCCAGATGGGTGCCTCGTCGTATCCCGGAATGACGCAGCCATTCTCGATGACGCACAGTTCCAACATGAGCTCAGTAGGCGTCCGTCAGGATTCGATGGGTACGTTGTTGTTGTTTCATTCCATAAGTAAACATAAACCACGCGTCTCCATCAAAGTAGTCCACTCTGTGGATGGTGACGATGCTCAACCTGCAATTGCATCCTTCCAGGGGCATGGAAACTATCTCCGACCTCCATCATGAAACAATTAATTCAATTAGGAACAACTTTGCCAAACAACGAACGTCTTCCAGCGGAAGTCTTCCCGGTAGTAGTTTTGCCCTAAAAATGAAGTGGCAATAAGAAAACTTCCTCCTCAACTTTCTACTGGCAGTGCAGTTGTAGGTGGCGCATCCTTCTTTTTTTTTTTGCTGGGATAAAAGTACGAAAAACTGCATGCATCTGCCGCTGGATGCTCGTCGATTTGTTTGCTTCCGTTCGTGTTTCCTTCAGTTGAGATTGCTGACGACCTGAATTCCGGCGCAAGTCAGGTGCAAAAACGGGATAAACACCTGCCCATCATCCTCCCCCCAGGTTTAGGTTGTCTCTCATGGCGCGTACCACTTGAGCCAAGAGCGTAAATAAATAAATGTATAACCGAAGGAAATTCGATATTTGCACCCGAAGATATTGCCAAGACATGGTGTCTGACTGCTTCCCCCCATTTACCGTCGCTGCGATGCAAGACTCCCAACCGACGGCCACTACGACGACGACGACGACGACGCCACTCAAGATGGGACCCGTTGTTGCTGTTGTTGTTGTTGTTGACTGCTGAAGTGTCTTCTTGCATCGAGTCCTTATTGCAAATAGGAGGAGTAGGGAAACAGCCAAGATGGGGCATGCGTTTTGCCGATGCCATAGCGGGACAAATATTGCGACGGGGAATATTACGGGAGTATACGGGGCAAAATCTACGGAGCACGTCTTGGAGAAAATTTGTCATTTCCGCAAGGCGGTAATGTATAATAAATTGACGGCACGATTCCGTGTTGTTGCGTGCCCGGGTTGAGATGACAGTTTCTCTTTTTGATGGTTTATCTCAGCAAATTTGGCGATTTTGATAATACTTTTTTTGCATTATTTCAACATGCAGTGGCTCCCCTCCACCTGAGCAATAAATCAATTAAACATACGATCAGGAGAAGAATAGGTTTGTTTTATTAAAGATTAGGTACCAGGAAACTGTCCATGGACGCCGTCCATATAAAAAAAACTAAACGTTAATCACTAACGCAAAATTTCCATCTTTTTCTTCCAGGAATGTCCGCCGAAGACGAGTGGTACAACAAGAGTTTATCCGCGCTCCGAATGAACAGCTCGCACCACCCAAACCTGTCAGCACCGATGCTGCAATACCAAACATAATTAATGTAGGATCAAGCTTAACCTTTCCCGTAAACTGTTGAACACCGCCGACGTCCACCCACGAGACAGGCAGAAAAGAAAGTTGTTCGCAGTAGTTTACCGATTTAGTAAAAGAAATGAATGAAATCTAGTCACCTAGGAAGTAAATAATTGAAAACATACAAAACATGAAAATCCTCGTCTTCGATCAAAGTATGCGCGGGATAGACACCCATTCGAGTCAAATGAAACGCCATTTTGAATGCAAGCCGCCCTCTGAACAGCAAACACATACAAATGCACGCACGCACACACTCATCAGCAGCTGCAGCCGCAGTTCTCTGCCTGCAATACAATAAATCGTTAAAATTTCATTAGCCTACTCAGTCGCGAATGTTTAATTGAATCGATTCGGCAGAGCGCACTAAAAACGTTATATTTATTCGCTTCGGATGCGATCTTTCGCGGAAACGTTTACTTGCTGTTAATCGGTGTGACGCCGTGCCATAACCCCGCCGCCGTTCGTTGTGTGTATGCTTCGGTCACCTTTTTTTTTTTGTTTTTTTGAGTTTCCGAACCCATTTTCCATTCATTCAAAATAAAAAAATACAAAAAATCGCATAACAGTGCGAATAAATTAAACATCCGAACTTTTATACCCTTTTTTAATAGTTCGATTAAATATTAACAGCGCTAATTTATTCAACCGGACAATGTTGACGCTAATGAAAATTTAAATACCCCCTCGCTGTCAGCCGCGAAAAATAATCAGTAGTAACTTTAGTGAATTCCCAAAACTAAAAAAAAAAAAGATTTGTACATATAGGACTACGACCCGGGAAAAAAAGAAGAAGAACATGATTGACATGTTTTCCGCAGTAGCAGTCTACTAGCAGAAACAACCCAATAATGGCAAGAAATCAAATATTTAAGCTACCGTACATTGATAGGCGTTATAATGAGTGCATATGAAACTAATTATTGGGAAAAGGCAGAAAAGCTGCAAAACTATCCGCTTAGTCGGAGCTGAAAATAAGTTAATATAACTAATGCTAGTTGTGTAAGATACGGAAAATAACTAATGCAAAGAATATGCTGATTGCAGTATGCAGCGCAGCAAACGAGTAAGGTGGCAGAGAAATATGATGGTAAATTTGAGGATAAACGTAGCTAAATTTTTAATTTGAAACACACACCTTGGTGAGGCATAATACAAACATTTCACCTAAAACAAAAAAAAAGTAACAGGATGTGGAGCCGATCGGGGTGAGAGTTATAAGTTGAACTATATTACGATGCAAAAAGTAACATTTCTAGTCACAAAACAAAGAAAATGAAAACAAAGCCAAACCAGAGCGTTGATTGTAATTGTACATATAGACCAAAAATACAATGCATTAAAAACTATTTGAGATGTAAGTTGGGGTTTACGTTTACATTTGGTGGGTTGATCTCCGAAATTCCTTTCTGGTGGGTTGTATAGTCGCTATATTCATAGTCTGGCGGATAGAATCTCGGGAACCAATTGAGCTGTCAAATAGCGGAACCAATCGAGCAAATCACGACCAACAACAGAAAATAGCACATCAGCTATTGCGAACAAAACTTCGGAAACACTTTTCTCGTGACTCAAGGCTCGCCTACGCAAACTAACACCATCTTTGGGTTGGTGAAAGTTTCCCCTATCTGATGATGCTAGTAATTTGCGTTCGATTGGCGAGGAAAGAATAATCAACGTTTTGTTTATAAAAGTTGACAGTACCTTTTCAATTGTTGGTCTAAAATATATTGAATTGGCTCCGCTTTTTGATAGATCGAAATTCTATCCGCCAGACTATGAATAAAGCGATTACACGCTAACTCGGAAGTACCCATTAAATGAGTATCTTGTACTCATTTTGTGAAGTTATTCAAATCTGTCAAAAAATGGGTATTTTCAAAAAACGGGTACTTTTTCCCCATTTGATAAAATGTCTTCTGCAAAAAAGAATGGGTAAAAATATGCTTTCAATCAACGTCAACACATCCCTGACGAAGTGAAGACCCAACGTGTCTGATATTTTTTTTATAAGTGAGTGTTGCGATCATTCGCGAAGCGAGTATTGTCTGTTTTATTCGAGACAATACTCACCGAAACCATTTCAAAAAAATTCGTTATAGGAATTTGGAACCGGTTGTTAGAATTATAGCGAATTTGTTTATTATTCAGTTCCAACCTGGATCGGGTATCAAGATTGGGTCTGCTTGTTTTCTGACAAACGTCAGTTTGATCGTTTGTTTTTAAAACCTACCTCAGGTTGGTTCGGTTTCGCACTGGGTTGGAACTGGTTCCAACCCCGATAATAAACAAATTCGCTATTAGAATGTGCAATCATGATGAAAATTAAGACACGTATTTTGAAAATGTGTTCCGTTTCAGGCGAGGTTTAAGACTAGCGAAGAACTCTAAAAAGGGAAAAGACCTGTGCGATGAGCAGCATCTGTCGCGGACCGACCAGCAGTGAACTGGATCTAGTTCCAAAAGCGTTCTTTCGCAAGGACAACTTTATGCCTTGAAGCTCGGTTATATGATAATTATTGTGATTATAAACAATAAAGGGTATGACGTGTTTCAATTATTTTGAATATTTTTATAGGTTTTACGTGGTTTAATGCCAGGTAGTCCCATGAAGCTATAGAAGCATCTAGAATCCAAACCAAGTGAAATCCTGGGTATCGGTTAACAGCGCCACTGTTAGCAAAACTGCGACAGCACTGGAAGAATGTTAACCTCGTGAATGTTCTGTCTGTCATATATGTGTTAAGAATTCCAGATTGTCCCAGAAAACTTATAGCGAATTCGTTTATTATCGGGGTTAACACCAGTTCCAACCCAGTGCGAAACCGAACTTTTTGTCAGTGAGAACCTCAACCTGAGCTAGGTTTTAAAAACAAACGAGCAAACTGACGTTTGTCAGAAAACAAGCAGACCCAATCTTGATACCCGATCCAGGTTGGAACTGAATAATAAACGAATTCGCTATTAAATAGCTTCTGTTCCGAAACATTCCTCTGTTATCCAGCGTCAAGAAAACACAGGTTATGTAGCTCCCAATTAATCGATGCAATATAATTAACGAAATATCAAATTTGGTCCTCCCGCACCTGAATGGCCTTTCGTTCAAGTACCTTCCAAGTATATATATCCTTCGGCGTGGAGGATTCTCGAAACAGAAGCAATGCTGATCGAACATTGGAAAGTGCGTTCAAACTCGGATTTTGCTTCGTCTAAAAACATTGTCGGGTTTGACTTGAACAAATTGATAATCCAACGCCGTTTCTCGACACTAAACTGAAGAAAAACTCTCTTCCGGTCCTTGCGAGTCATAATCCCGTCCTCCTGGTATCGCTGGATCCAGCTGCTGATAGTGCTATGATGCTTTCCGTAAATCCTCGCACATTGTACTTTGGACAATCCCAGGAAATAGAAAGCATACAGCGCTTGGTATTTTGTATTATATGAGGAATGCTGGCCCAACACTTCCTAATTCCTTCCTAATTCGGTGCATCTGGTTTCAGTACAGGAACCACGTAATTAATCCGAAATTCGCCGGTTGATGTGTTTAGGATACTTTTCAGTAAAAAGACGCGAACAATATTTTGACGTTTATTTATTTACATGTGGCTGGCGCACACGAGTGAGCTAAACTCAAATTTAGGTCGTTCTCATTCGCCGTGCGTGTGACGAAAATTGCCTTTATATATAGCCATTCACATCTCCTTTCCTTCTAAGAGGAAGAGAAGGCAACATGGCTTTTTTTTGTCTGTGGCGTGTTCTCTCGCGGAAACGACCGTGCAAAAACTAGTTCATTATGGACTAAGAGAAAAAGGAGACAACTGGCTTCTTAAGGCCGGCGCACAATAGATACGTTTTCGGGTTTTTTAACAGATAATGCATGGCTTAACTGTCAAAAAAACCTGAAAACGTATATATTGTGCGCCGGCCTTTACTCTTTAATCTCTATCTACACGGTACCCAACGGAAAGTTCACTTTTACCTACTTTTGACTAGGTTGTCTCCTTTTCTCCTTCTAATGTTGTCAAAAACGGAGGAGCAAAACCACCCAACAGGGGTAGTAAAGTGTGGGAACCCAACGTTGTGTTTAATCATATTTACCTGCTGTTGGATACAACTAACTTACTTTTGGTTAAAAAGCCAGTGGAAAATTCCAAACGAACTGCACACAAGTAAATGAAAACTACTTTAACCCGCTTTACCTACTTTTGGGTACCTGCACTATAGTGCCGAGATGAGTGAAAATAACTTAATTTTGAGTCAATTTTTCTAACCGTGTATATCTATCTCTATGGGGCTGTTCATAAACGATGAAGACAGTTTATGGGGGGGGGGGGGGTGTTAACTATCCACGTGGACAATTGTCTACGCAGGGGCACGGAGAACAAATTATAGCAGACACAAATATTTTTCCGTTCAAAATAACTATATTGTTCAATTGTTTTCAACGCTGTCCAGACTGGAGAGTTATAACAACAATCAATACGAAACTAACGATTTTAAATTGGCTCACCACTTTAGTAGCCTATTGGTCCCAAGCAAACGATTAACGTACCCTATTATAGTTGAAATTCTATTACTACACTATGTTTGTTTTGATTCGCTATGAAAGTTTGACAGATAACATCAGGGGTGTGTGGATTCATGCAGAACATGCAGGGGTGAGTGAAATAGCTTGGGACTGCTTGGGACCGTTGTTCTGGTACTGAGTGAGCCAAAAATAATAATGATTTTCTTCGGGACCCAGTGGTCTTAGAGTTACCTCTATGGTTATAACATGTTATGACGGTTGTCAAATAACTGCAACACAGAAACCACCATCAAGATTGCGCTGTAACATGTTATAACTCTGTAGTCTGAACGTACTATTAGAGATAACCCGAAACTATAGTTGATTTGACTATACATAGAGGGCAACAACTATAGTCCATGGTTGGCTCCTCGGTTGGCTCAACTATATTTTTCAGTAGATGAACAAACGTCAAACTTCGAAATACAACTATGCTTTAGTTGATTCAAGAAAAACTATTGTTAGGAAAGCAACATTTTACAATGTTTATTAAACGAACTGCTCTTCATTATCGACATATGAAGGATGTTTGTTTTGCTTCTTTATCGATCTCAAAAAGACAACTGCAAAATCATAAAAAAGTGAACAAGAACATTCAGCTTTGATTTGAACCGTGTTTATCTGCGTGAGAGACAGCTATCTTATCGCCTACTCCACGCATCACAAGTTAATAGTATGTGGATTTATGATTATGATCAATTGAAACCAAATTATATAAATAAATTACATTTGACGGTTGTTATAATTGATCAAAGTTATAGTTGAATTGAGTATAAGATGAACAGTTGAATCTATTAGGTAGATATGATTGAGTTGACGGTCAAATTAATGTTGGAATAACTATAGGTTTCTTTCAAACAACAATATTTTTCCATGTGAAAGTAACTACATATTAGGATTGTTATCTTAACTTAACGAATTTGTTCTTTGTGGGGAGTCAAGAATCAAAAAAAAACTGTCGACGTAGTTAATGAACAGCCCCTACCTTACGCACTTCAAATCGGCCAATCAAAAACTGGTTCGCGTTTGACAAAAAGTGGTTCGTTTTCGCCCCCGTATTGTCTTCTTTCTCTTGTGTAAATATTTACATTATTTGACAAATCTCAGGTAAGGGTTGATGCATATATTATGTCACGCTCAAAGGGGAAGGAGGGGGTGGGTGAACGTCACGATAGGGGGAGGGGGTAATTTTTTGCTCGATTTAGCGTGACATAATTAATGCATGGGCCCTAATCATGACAGCAGTAGGTCCAACAATCAATACGAAACTAACGATTTTAAATTGGCTCACCACTTTAGTAGCCTATTGGTCCCAAGCAAACGATTAACGTACCCTATTCTAGTTGAAATTCTATTACTGCACTATGTTTGTTTTGATTCGCTATGAAAGTTTGACAGATAACATCAGGGGTGTGTGGATTCATGCAGAACATGCAGGGGTGAGTGAAATAGCTTGGGACTGCTTGGGACCGTTGTTCTGGTACTGAGTGAGCCAAAAATAATAATGATTTTCTTCGGGACCCAGTGGTCTTAGAGTTACCTCTATGGTAGGTCTCTTTTCTTCATTCAAATTATTTTCAATAATCAAACCTCATGATTACCTGGGTTTTGTCAAATAAGGTAAATATTTCTATTGCGTGACGCATTCGACTGTCAAAATACAAGAAAATATATTCCCTGTTGTAAAAATTCTCGCGTTTCTACGTTCGCCAAACCAATCAGGCGTTGGTTCGCGTTTTACAGAAAATTGGTTCATAAAAGTCCCCCTATAGCAATGACATTTATGGTCTGGGCCAACAGGCAGCTTGTTAGTGTTAGAAGCAAAAATGTTGTAAACATTGCTGAACATCTGCGAACAGATAGAAATACGTCACTGCCAACATACTGAAAACAGATAGAAATACGTCACTGCCAACAGCTGTTTCGTGTAAAAAGATAAACATTGCAATAAAATACAAACACCACTAAACATTTCAAGAGCAAATTTTCATTACGTCGAATGTAACAAAGGTAAACAAAGTCGAGCTATCAGTGTCAATCGATTCTCCTGCTATTACACTATATACTGTCCGAATATAGGATCAAATCCCATTTTTAAAATTATTTACCAGTCAAATTGCTTTTTGACGTAATCACCTTCCGATCAAAATAGTTTTCGATGTTACTTAAGTCACCCAATTTCTATGGAGATGCCGTTTGACTTAAGTAACAGCGCTGAGAAACCCGTGAAAAGTGTACGTTCGTCGATTCGCTTTCTCATTATTAAAGTGAATAAATCGATCTGTTTGTTGCTAAGATGATTTCGGTGGTCCTAAAATGATGAATGGGCTGCACGTAAGGAGACGTAATTGATAATTCTCCCGAATATCCTGGTAAATACACTTAGACTTAAGTAACAATAGGGGCCACCAAACGACGTATAATAACTTTTGACTCAAAAACCAGTATTTTTTAGCATGAAAGCTAGCGATTTGCATTTGTATGATTAAAACCCTGCTAAGTATGTTAAACATTGCTATCACTATGAGATTATATGTGTTTACTTGAAAATAGGAATAACTTTTCGGTCATCAAAACAAAACTTTATTTTTCTCGGATTGGTGCGGATGTTACTTACGACATAATGAAAATTTGCTCTTGATTTGCACTCCCAGTCGGCGCCCGAGACGACTAATACATAGGTGCCACAGTCGGAAGAAGTGTTAGTTTGTTTACTTAAATGAACCATGCCCATTTTGTTATGGCATGTTTGCTATAAGAAATGCGCCTCGTGTTTATTAGCGAATTTCACATCAAAGATTGATTAACTGAGTAGGAAATCAGTTTGGTACGGCATTTGTGAGCAGCATACACCTTCCGGTAGTATGAAACAGGTCAAAAACTGTTCAAATCCGCAGATAAAAATTTTTGTTTTGAATTTCTGTATAGCAAAATAGTGAACATTAACCAATGAGGTACAGAGAGAGGTGGCGCAGATCGTGAAATAGGGTTGTATTAGTAAACCAAAAAATCAACGTAAACGCAAGTAGTGACGTCACTACTTGCGTGTACTTGCCTGTACCGTACAGTGGTTGTGTGAGTGATTGCTTCACCTCGGTAATCCAGCTCATTGAACATTAACGGCAAAGAACTCACCAACACTGGGAGACCGTGAGTTCCTGCCCACCTGTCATAAAACCGTCTTGGGCCCAGACCTTATATAAACGTCATTGATTCAAGTGGATTTTAGGTTTTAAATATAAAAAACTAAAACATATGATATCCGACTATGTTCCTTTGAAAAATATTCCACTCCAAAAAATCTATAAAAGAAACATTTAATAATTTTTTTAAATTTTTTCTAAGTCCATGTAAGGAAACCACTGCCAGATGTCAACAAATGTGAGGTTAAACCGACGGTGCAGCTCTCTATTGTCTCCTCTTCTTCTTAGCTTTCGTTGGGAAGCCATATATACACCGAAAATAGTTATCATGTAGCTTCCATTGGAAACGCATATGATTTTCATCCATTGTCAAGATTAATTAAATTCATCTGAATTTCACATATCATTTATACAATCACATGAATTTTATATGATTTTTCATTTAAATATCATCAGCCTCGTAATTTTCATGTGATTTGTGGTGGGATTTGCAGTTATGTGATCACAGGAAAGCTATGTGAAATTCACATGAACTTCAAATTCAAATGTTGAATATTTCGGATGGAGAAGTCAAAAGATTATAGTATCAACCGATCAGCGAAATATCAGCAACATTTATCTTGCGATTCATATTTGTGCTTCCAACAGAACACATTTTATAATCATTTTTTTACCAGTCAATTGAGTTACATTCCAAGCACATTCTTAATTACGACACACAAATGATGAAATCCGTTGAAATATCTACAGTAAATAAATTTTTGGCTCCGTCGCAAACGCATACCAATATCCAAGCGCTGTTGAGATTCGCTTTATCGTTGAAAAACATCCAAAAACGGGTCGTCCACTGGCCATGTAAATATGTGTGTTTATTTTTACTTTATTGTTGTTGCATCCTAAACCTACTGACTTTGATCTTTAAGCGGTTCAGCTCACATATAGAAGAAATGTGACTTTGATTTGATGATGTTTGATCTAGATGGCATCGTATGAATCGGGATCCGGTTCCCGGCGTTCGACACGGCAACCGTTCTGCAAGAATCGGATTCCATCCTACGAAGAAAAGTATTAATTAAGAAGTGGTGTACTATTTGCACATTGAAACCTACCCTAACAAGCCCCGGAAGATCCTTCCAGAAGTCCAGATTCGGTATTACTTCGATTCCTCGAGCACCGAGATACATGAAGCGAACTATCGAACCGATCGCGAAGTACGTAAAGGTACCGATCAGGAACAGGATGAGTAGTACACCTCCTGTGCTGGGTTTGCTAATCTCTTCAATCGTTATCGGACAAGCGAATGGAGAGAAGAGGACCAGTTTCTGTAAAACATCCGAAAAATCAGAACCTAGGAGTTTCCCTACAATTTTCCAAACTATACTTACGGTATCATTCCCAGATTCCACTGAGGTCTGATCCTGATTGACATAGATGTAAGATTTATCGTGCTTCAAGCAAAGAAGCTGAAAGGATGTCACACTGGAAGAGATAAAATGAGAAGTGTTTTAATTATTCTCCCAAAGCAAAACGCGTACTTACACCGATTTCAACTGGAACACAAGAAACTGCTGCCCATTGTCATCCGATCGGAAATTACTATCCCTTATTGTCCCCAACTTTTGATATGTTTGAGTCGCATTATTGAACCGACAAAGCTAGAATTAATCGCATTCCATTTTATTAGTCAGTAGAGCTAGAGATAAGAAATCGACTGCTTCTTACCGCATAGCCATCCCCAGAGCTGCAATCTGTGTCCGTGTTCGGTTGAGGTAGATACTTTATGTCCTGACACGGTTGAAAAAAGTACTTGTCCTGCGTCTTTGGATCCATCGTTTCCATGTGCAGTTCTCCCTTTGCGACTACCTGATTGAGATCGATTCCTTTGCCATCCTCATACTCGCAACGGCACGGATCCAGTCGACGACATTCGTTCGCCTGTGCTAGTTGCCATCCACCACCGGAACCGGAGGCGACCAGAAATGTCACGAAAGCTACTACCGAAAGATTAGTCATCTTTGTTCATTGCACTGGCACTAAGTAAATATATAGAGAGAAAATTTGCTTTCTGCTTTACTATCTCTGACTGTTTGCGATGAGAGATGAATGCGACTGTTATGTCGTTTTGTTTTTATTTTCGTTCGATTGAAGTGATGATAAGCTTTTTTTGTCACTGTTCTGTCAACGAACGGTCAACGCGAAGAAGAGTGAGATGAGTGTGTTGATGGCGATACCCGACCAAAGGAGGAAAGCTAGATGTTGAAAACATAGTTTGTTCGCTGGTACTCACATAAATTGCACTCAGAACTCAGAAATGGACCCATTAAAATACAACGTAACGCGGGAGGGGGACTAACTCAATTTGTGTTACAAATTGTATCGTAAAATTTAAGGGGCGGGGGTCATAAGGGATATTGTAACGCGTAACTTTGATCAAATTTGAATAAAATATTTATTTAAATATATAAGTTCATATAAATAACACAAGTTGATCGATTCAAAACGAGGCTAAAAATACTGTTTAACGCAAAGTTTAAGCATCTGATCAACACTTTTGTGGACTTCGTCATATTATGAGGGTACACTTTGTGAAAACCGAAAATGAAACATGTAACGAAATTATGAAAGATGTTGAACGTTAATAACACGTTTTTTTTTTTTAATCCAGCGTTTTCGAGCGCTCATCCCCCTTCTGGGTTCTCCAAACTCTCAACTATGTAATTAGGGAAGCCCCCTTCAAGGGCTCCTGGAGATGAACCAGCCTGCGGCTGAAAATCTCCTAAATAAAGAGAAAATAAAAAACAATATGGTTGAGTTTCTGGTAGGGAACAAATGATTTGAAGTTTGGCTTTTGATGTTTGACCTGTAAATGCTTAAATTTGATCGTTTACAGGTTAAATGACACAACCCAAACATCAAATTGAATGTTCCCTACCATAAACTCAGCCAGATTGTGGCGGCCATCAGCGCTCGTAAAATGCTGAAAAGTTGCTCAATTGGGTTCTTTAATTTGGGAAAAAAAATATCATATGAAAGAGCTTCACTTTCTGAGCACAACGATATTTTTTTCGAACCCATAGACTTTCATTCCTGGTGAAAAATGAAAGCAAAATCTAATCGGTAAATTGTTAATCGAGGAATTAAAATCTGATACATCACTAATTTTTGGTGAAGCGCTAAGCGTGAACTCTTCCAAAGGGGGCAGCATAACCACAAAAACACCGTGCATACGGGGAGTATTCATTGGATGAAAAGAATCGTGAAAGACGACAGTACAATAGAAAGTTTTTTTCTACCGACTCTTTCATCTTAGCATCCTTTGGATTAAGGTGAAATTTCATGGAATTCATCAATTTTGCGTTTTCACTGGCACTGATCTCGCCATACAGATCTGAAAATTAAATAAGCTGCTTGCTTCTCTGCAGACAAATTTTATGGCAAATGAATTCCGTCAATAGTATCCTTTTGACGTTACGCGTGGATCTGATGATCATTACGGTTTGCTACAAAGGGATGGGGGTTTGTAAAAATTAAATTTTGTATGTGTTACACGCAGAATAAACACTCAGGCGTAAATTAACAAAACATTTTGTTATTTTTTAATACGATATTTATGTTTGATTCAATTCATAAAAATGTTTTAAATAAATGCAGCACTCCATTTAAATCAAACTGATAAAATTGTTTGAACTGCATGTGTCAAACTGTCAGTCTGTGTCGGCATGCATTTCATGAAGATCGTCACCACATGTTTTCAAATGTGTTTCGACCAGGAGAACCAGGTAGGTGGAAGGTGAAACTTACAAAATAAACATTTACGAATCTTCTATTATTTCACATTTTCAGATGCGGATATGCTCAGTGGACACAAACCATAACAACAAGCCGAGTTGTAGCAATCCAGATGCTGACGCCAAGTCCTCCTATTCAGCAAGAGAACCTTCAAAAGTAATGTAATATCATCGAAATTTAGGACAAGCCCAACTTCCATCAAGCAATCGGAGCTGAGACAAACAACGGCTACCGATGCCGATTAAAATTCCTCCACCGTTGAATATGTGTCCATCCACATGAATTTTCCCCTATCCGGTAGTGGTCCTCACTATTCCTCCAAAATATGGCTCCACCAAACTTCCAGAAGCAAAATCATCCAATTTCCAACCACAACGTCTGGCTTAGAAGATTTAAGAGAACCATCTCTTGTTGAACCATCATCGTCACCATCAGCCACCATCGCTGCACTTACAGCAGATGCACTCGCTTCCAGCAACACAAATAGTCAACATCAGAATCAACACCAGAATGGCTCTGGCTCTGGCGAATATGACGAGTATGCCAACTTAATTAAGTGAACGTGACAAACAGTGACTGCTCAATTGTCTCAATCGAACAAAGACTTCTAGCATAGAGGTAACTCTAAGACCACTGGGTCCCGAAGAAAATCATTATTATTTTTGGCTCACTCAGTACCAGAACAACGGTCCCAAGCAGTCCCAAGCTATTTCACTCACCCCTGCATGTTCTGCATGAATCCACACACCCCTGATGTTATCTGTCAAACTGTCATAGCGAATCAAAACAAACATAGTGTAGTAATAGAATTTCAACTAGAATAGGGTACGTTAATCGTTTGCTTGGGACCAATAGGCTACTAAAGTGGTGAGCCAATTTAAAATCGTTAGTTTCGTATTGATTGTTGCTTCTAGTACTTCTTACTACTTTACATGTTATTTGCAATATTTTTTTTTCAATAAAGACAACCTGGGAATTGAAAATAAAAACGATTCTTAAATAATTAAAATGATGTTTCAAGACAACAAAAAACGTACATTGCTTCAAAAAATGCTTCAATTTGATCCAAGCAAACATTTTGTTTGAATCAATAATAACCGATGATCAATTCAATAAAGTTAGTATAATTATTTCAACCCAATGTTTTTGTTGAATTAATCTGTCAATTTTATTGATCCATATTCTATTCAAAATTTTGTTTAAAGTTAAACGAACTTTATTTGATTTACCTATGTTTTTTTTTCTGCGTGTACATAATATTTGAATGGACCCTAATATTCCAGCTATACCTCCCATACCTCCTGATTACATCGTATCAGTCGAGGTATCAGTGTATGGCAAATTTATTACATCCTTTGCTGTGTAGTTTAGTTGGTTTTAAACAAGAAAAATGTTAAGTTTAATAAACTAAATTAATACTCGAATTAATATTGAAATTATTTTTTATAGGATACTCCAACATTAAAATTCAAACAACAAAAATGTTAAGTTTGTTGAATCAACTACAATTCTATGCTAACAATTCAAAGCTGCGTTTAGTTGTTGATTTCTCGCAAATAAAAGCTTATCCCTAACAATAGTAGCTGGTAGATAAAGCATACCTTTATCTGATGATGTAATAAATTTCCCTTTGAAATGATGACACTGAATTAGTAATGAAGCAAATTTTTATTGCTGACTCTATCCTTAATACCCCTGGGAATAACCCGTTTATTTCCTATTTATATCAAACAAAATTGCGAATTTGAAACAACTAACATTGTTTAAATCACAAACGAATTGACAGACGACTACCCGCATAAACATTAACCACATTATGACCTTAACAATAATGGTTTATCTTCCTTCCGAGACCATAATGGATATGGTTCCATTGAACATAATCGAACCATAGCTGGTTATTGTTTTGACCATATTATAACTGGCGAAGAAATCAACTAAAATAATGTGGTTCGTTGTAATAGACTGGGCTAGTATTTTTGTTCCGATTTGAACAAAGTTGATTTTGTGTGCAGTGATCTTTGATCAGAGTGTATTATTTTGTCATTTTTTATGCATTTCAGTTTTGAGTAGAGTGAAAGAGATAGAACCAAAACATTCGAGTACATTTGATGAAAATGCTAGTACCGATTTTACAGTTAAATTTTGATCCATGCTTTTGAATGTTTCAAACCTCGTTTCAAACTAGACTAATTCTGGATCAACAATAGAAAAGGGCCCATCAACATTTGTAAACAAACCGTTCCAAAGACATTTACTGACAAAGCGAAGGCCACCCACGCAAACCAACACCACCACCGACTAGGGGAAACTTCCACCTACACGATGATGGTGTTGGTTTGTGTGGGCGGCCTTCGATTTGTGAGGAATGGGCCGGTTTGTTTACAAATGCTGATGGGCCCTTTTCTATTGTTGATCCAGAATTTTTCTCCGTGTATTTTAATGTTTTAACAAAATTTGTTGGCAGTCCCACGTTACATTTGTTTTCTTCTCTCATTTGCAAGCACTCAGCGCATACAGTGATGCCAACAGCTGTGGAACAAAATCATAAATTAAAAAAAGGAAATGAAAATTCGTTGCTGCAGCATACTTGGAATCATACATACATATTCAATTATTTAAACGTGAAAATTTAATTGTTATTTAAAATTTGTTAAAATTTGATTCAACACAAGTGAAAAAAAGATATTTTCGAAATGGTTGAAATGTCTTATTTGACTGGCACCACTATTTATAGGCACTCACCTCAGCATGTCAGGATTGAAAACTGCGTCGCTTACCACCGCCCGCACGAAATGTGCTTTTTCGTCCCTTTCATCTCTTGGTCGGTCGTCAAAATTAGAGGTATGTAAACAGGTGAGGCCCATTGAAGCTGTCGTCTCTTTTGTTCCTTCGCTGTTCAAAGGAGTGACGTCAAACGCCGTCAACCTGAAGGGAGAACGAAAGAGATGTCCAATTTACATTGCCTCACCTATTTACAGCACATTAGGTCGGCCAGCCGTCGGCTCAGCTTGCATCGCATCAAGCACAAGCACGCAGTCCGTATAGAAGACGGTTAGCGGGTTGTCTCCGTTATTTTCGTTCCGCACTCATCCGTCCGTCAAAGTTTTGTTTTCCCTCGAAAGTGCGATCGATTGTCTCTTCCGCCGTAGCAGATAAACATTATCGAAAGAGCTATTAAATCGATATCGATCGTTGAATAGCCTGTGTAGCACGGAGGAGGAAGGTAAGATTTTTCGATCTGCGTAGTGAAAACATGCGGGGGGCGTGTGAAGCCTTGCGAAAGATTACTGCGATCGAGAGGTTCAGCTCCTTGGTTGCTTCGCTCGCTTTGTATTTACTGTTTTGTACGGTTGCACGAGCTAAATCTCCAAGTGAAGGCTAGGGGACACCATTTTGTGCACTCGTTGGTGCAACCGTACTTCCAGGGTGGCTGGTTTCGCTGGTTAGAAATCGGTGAGATTTTTTTTGAAAAACTGATTATGGGTAGCATCTAGTACTGAAAATATGATGCTTACTTTGGACTGTATTTTAAAAGTATGAAGTTTCTTAAAATGTTTGCATTGAGGGCTGAAATATGAACATTGTTTACGACCAGTAGTTAATGAAGCGGTGACTTCGGCAGCACTGGATTGTTAGCATTTGCTACCTTGTTCGGAGCTTTCGGTGAACACCAGATTAGTAATCCTTTGCAGTCACGCACGTTAGTTTTCCCCCGGAATGAGAAAGGACTTTTCCGGTAATTAGTGCTAAAATAGATAACATATTCGTCAAAGTACTCTCTTTAATGATAACATACATTTTGGTTAGTGGTTCACAATGTTTACACGGTAGAAGAGTTTAGAATTTCTGCTTAAATTGTTGGTTGTGAAATAGTGTTGGAAGTGTTGAAGTTTATTGATTTCCGATATCCAGAAATTCCAACTGTTTTATTTTTTATTTTTCTGTATTCTATAAGCTTAAGGACTTCTTAAAATTGCATTTCTTAGTAGTTAACTAAATAATGTTCTTCTTGAATAACATTTTCAGATACGTAAATTTGAAAATATCTCATTCGAAAGGTGTCAAAGCGTTCGAGATTTTGGCATTGTAAGCGGCACCTCTCACTGCTGTGGTGTACGGTCGCCGGAAAAGTGCAGCTAGGGACCCGTGGCACCCGTAGCTGTTTGTATTACACTTTTGCCTCCCGTTTTCTCTTGCTCTGCTGCTGCTGCTGTAGTTTGGGTCGTTCGGAGCTCCGAAAATAGTGTCAGAACTGGTCCAAACAAACCGCACGGACCCCAGCAGTAAACACACCTTCGAACCTCCCGAACCCTTTCCCCTGGCAGAGAGTGAGTGAGCTTCCGGGTGAGCTCCTCAATAATCGCTCAAATTGGAGGCGAAAAAGGGAAAAATGGTGCTGGCCGACCGAACTGCTGAGAATGTCCGTAACGGACGACGATCGCGAGGACCCAGTCCCAACGGTCACTCGGCAGCGATGGCCGCCGGCGGAATCACCGAATCCAGCTCAGATGACGAAAACTGTGAGTGACATTCGGATTCTGTGCCAAAGAGCATCGTGTGAGCTAATCCTTGTTCTCTCGTTCTTCGTTTCGTTCGCAGCACGGAAAAATGGAAATTCCTCCAAGGAAACGAAAAAGAAGAGCGAATATGAAGGTAAGAAAGTTGATTGTGCTAGATTCCGGGTATAACGTCGCAAAAACTGCTAGCGGAGGCGTATTGAAATGTCAGGCTGATTTTTTTTTAAATATGAAAATTGACCTTAATTGTGTTTATTTTTAAATGTAATAATTGCATCCTCTTGAGAATTTGAAAAGTAAAGCTTATTTCGGCTGATAGGTGCATGTTAATGATGGAGGACGATGCCCTATGTTTATTGAACTAGGGTGATAGAGATGCAATGCAAGAAATTGCATTTATACAAGGCGGGGTCAACTTCGTTGTATGCAGCTCAAAAAGTTCCGAATGGAAAGTTTTGAGGCATTTAAGATAAAACGGTGGTCTACTGTATTTGTAATTTGTTGTTTTCTTGGTTACGATAGCCTATTAGTAATAACTTTGTATCATGACAACTCAATGCTATTACATACATCATATCAATACATTAAACTAAATCCCCCTAAAACGCGTTGTGACCAAAATTTAGACAGACTACATCGAAAACCTCGAGTCATCAGGGAATGAGTTTCTAATGTATTATTCCATTTCGATTCTATTTGTAATTCCAAGAGTCTTTAAACTCCATGACCTTGTATATTTTCTTAATTCAGAAATTTATTAAAAAAAATCTTAACCCTTTAATTCCCAGAAAGTTTTTGGTTGTTTTAAGATGCAAAAATGTATTTAAACAAAAAAAAAGTGTTCCATATTGCTTTAAATTATTGGATCCATTGAAACATGTTTTTAATTAAAATCAATAGTATGCTAATCGTTTTTCAATAGCTACTCAGTTGAATCATATGGACTAAAATAATGAACACACTGAGAAGCTTAAATAAGTACTGACTATTTAATGGTAGATTGACAAACATGAGACGGACGGAAAAGGTGTGGATCACCCACCAGTCTACCATGGAAAAGGGTTAAGCCCCCAAAATTTCAATGCCCGAGATCTTTATTTGACCTAGCTGATATTCTATTCTATCGAAATCTAGAAACGTTGTCCTGATTGCCGTTACTAATTCTCTTTGTTGAGTATGGTAAACGCACCAGTATTGGCCATGTTCCTATTTTGACCACCTTTTGACGATATTTTCACGTTTACAATTTTGAGATGTTCAGTTACGTTCAGTTTGTTGGTACAAATCATATTCATTGGTGTACATAAACATTTCGACCACAAAATGCACCAATATTGTAATTTAATCGGTTTTCTGAGGTGTGGCCAAATAGGAACCTATGGCCAATACTGGTTCACTTCCTTTATATAGGGTAGATACTTACTTCGGCATAAGCGCCCTTTTCCGTCAAACCAAGCAGAAACATCAAATGTATCAATGATTTCGACGTGAACGAATCATTCAAAAGCTATAAAACAAAATCTATAAGAATGAGTATGAATATTTACATCCATTCTTCTGAAAACCGGATGCCGAAGTGAATTCAATGACGTTTAATGTGTTTGCACGGAATTGAAACTCGTATGACGGAATTGAAATCAAGAAGCAGTGTTAGATTTTTAACAATATCTCAACAATTTGTGACTCTTTATTGAATCTAACGGTTCGTATGGAAATGTAAATAAATTCAAAAGTCATCATTCCATTTTTATATCTTACTAGCTGAGTGTGCCCGGCCTTGCTCCGGATTCAATATTAGCTTGAGTTTATGCGCCGATTCAAAAAAGTATGCTATATTTTTCTGTTTCATTTGTATGGTAGCCCCCTTTACAGAGGGGGATGAGGTCTCGAACCATCATAAGAACCTTTCCCGGCCCAAAAAACCCCTACATACAAATTTTCACGCCCATATGTTTAGTAGTTTCCGAGTCAATAAGGGTCCACTATTTATCCACGACACATAAAAAATTTAAATTTTTTGTATGGACAATTGTCTACGCAGGAGGGAGGGGGGGGGGGTTTAAAAATCAAAAAAAACTGTCTACGTAGTTAATGAACAGTTCCTAAACGCCATGTCCCCTAGCGGAAATTTTTTTTTATAGTTTGTTCATTGTCGAGGCTCATTCGCGGTAGCTTTGTGGAGCCGAATTTCTGGTTTTGTTTGACAAAATTACTTAAAACTAAAGTTAGTAGAGTAGGGGCCGATCTAAAACGCTCACCAATCAATTAAGATTCCATTTTTGTTCAAACCCGTTGTGCGGTTTGTGCTTAGTGTGACGAAAATTAGATCTTAACCCTACTGGGATACTAATCAAAAAATGTGTAACGAAATAGCATCAGGTTTTGACTGCTTATAGCTTGGTCGTTTATGGGGATTGACAAAAAGGCTTGATACAGATCTTAAAATTTTGCACTTCTTCGAACACCCACACTAACGCGTTACTAAATCTATTTTAGCAACCTGCAACATGACGCAGCAACCGCAGCAATACCGCATCAATAAGTTTGAATGTGGAATTAAAATGTAGATCGCAGGGACAGCGAAGCGGACCCCGGAACATCCGTAAAAGTGGTCAATTCGTAAAAAATAATCTACAATTCCGTGATTTTTAAACAACTTTTTGGAATGCTGCATGAATTATATTTAGATTTGAGACCATGATGTGCCCGCTGGAGACCACAAAACGATCCTCCGGAAGATCCGTAACATCAATAAAAGTGGCCAATTCGTATAAAAGATCCTAATGCTCAGTGATTTTTTTTTTAATCACTTATTATGATAGGGTAGAGAACTACTTCGGCCTAATCGCCCATTTTGGCCCTATCAGGCAGAAAACATCAAATAAATCTATGATTCCGGCATACGATGCTTCTATTCAATAGTTTCAAGACGAAGTGTTGAAGAACGCAAAATAAGATCTCGAAAGTGTACAAAAGGCACACGCGAATTAACTTTTCTTTCCGTTCCATAGGCCGAATGGCGTTTCAATGGCTAATAAGCCCAAGAAAATCCGTAGGGACCAGCATGCGCACGGACTTGTCCTGGACTGGATCTTCCGTAAAAGTTGTCAATTCGTAAAACAGATCCTATAATAGACCATCCATAATTGACGTAGCATATTTCTGACCAATGTTAGACCCCCCTCGTGGCGTATTTTGCAATACATAATTCATGGTCGGTCCCAACTCCTGCAGACCTCCTCCCCACTAAAATGCTGCGTTAGTTGGTTTATTTTAAATCACTTGTTATGATGCTACATGTATGAATTAGAATCTAGGACTAGCATATGTACTAAGGTTCAAAATATTGATTTTGATCCAGGCTCAATCGATTCTAAATCTGGTCCTGACTGTTCTCTCAAAATGTGTTAATGAACAGCTCCTAACCTCCACAGATCTAGAATATTTTTCATTAAATGACCAATTTTACGGATGTTCAGGATTTTCCAGACAACCTCCTTTGGACGCTAGGGAACAGTTTTCGGCCTCCGATCCTAATTCATTCATGTAGCATCACAACAAAAAAATATATGGATATTCCTAATATTCCGGAGGACTATACTCCGTAGCCATCAAAGTTAGCATGCTGGTCCAAATCCAAATTAATTCATGCAGCATCACAACAAACACATTAAAAACAGCGGAGATTCTAATTATAACGAACTTGACCACTTTCACGGATATTCCGGAGAACCGTCCCGTGGCCAGCAGATGCTGATCTTAAATCCAAATTCATTCATATAGCTTAACAACAAATGATTAAAAAAAAATTGCAGTTGGTCTAGGATCTTTTTTACGAACTTCACGGATGTTCCGGATCTCCCAGAGGACCATTCCGACAGATTCCAATTCATTCAAAATGATTTAAAAAAACAGTGAGCTATAGAGTTCTCCAGATGCACAAAAGTGTGCGTGAGGTTAGCTGAAGGTTAGGATAATTAGTTATTAATAGATTAGGAAGATGATGTTCTTCTGACATGGTTCATTTACTACTCAGCAGACAAAAAATCGAGGCTATTATGTCATAAGGGCAAGATGCAGTGTTGCCCTGAAAACAGCCGATTAATCCTACCAGCAAGTTATTAGCTTGGAAATTAATTAATAAGAAATTTTCTTGACATTCAACAAAGTTGTAGCTGGGAAATTCTCACGTCAGATGGGAGGGGCGGGGGCTCTGATGGACAACTTTTCCGTAAATCATTATGGTGCAGGGCTAGAACGATGAGGACAAAAAACACTTCTTATAGTAATTCCCATATAAACTTCAAAGAGCCAGTGCAGAATCAGTTCGCCACCAAATTAGTAGAAATTTTGGGATATTGATCAGCCTGATTTGGATCGGATTGATCTTGGTGGATCAAATTGAAAGGTATTTTGCAGCATGCAGAGAACCAATAGTTTGGAGGACCCTTTAAAAAAACTTCGTTGTTGAAATTGATTCGTGTGACTTCATCCATCAGTATTTTCAGCCTTTCAAGCTGTAGCCGACATCACTAGTTAATTCAAACATGTACTTAAATTTGAGAACTGTTCAAATATATTTAGACAAAAAGCATGGTGTGTTCGTCCCAAGTAGTAGTCAACCTAAAAATATGATGAGAAATAAGAAAACTGGATTGTAAATTTTGGGATGAATCCAACATATTTGTCACACTCACCGGTATATGAATCGAAAACCATGTTTTTCAAAATGTTTATTTAGTTGGCTCAATTACTTTGAAAGCTCTGCGGAGCTGAAGGACTAAACAAATATTACAATGGAGATCTAAATCGATTTCCTATATTATTATTTTTTGTTTGCAACGCATCGAATCTCGACAGATCCACAAACCCTTTCTGCCGAGGATGCTGATGTTCGTTTTTGCATGCTTTATTGGCCTCCTGAGGGCACGTCCATTATCACCACCTCTTCATGCAGCACCTCTACCACTTCCTCTGTTGATTTGCTGGTGCTGTCTGACAATGCACCTACAGCCACTACACCAGGGTACAAACTGCTATCCGAGTTGCAAGGAATTTTGTAGTTCTTCAAGAAACTTCGTGGTACTTCAGGAAACTTTCTTGAAGTGCATATTTTTCTTTAAAGTTCAGCTAACATTGTAGAAGCTCACTGAACTTCAGTGAACTTCGTAGAGCTTCATCGAACTGCTTCGATAACTCTTCTTCTACGTACCTGAAAAAGTTATAAGACAACGACACTTCATACACCTCGCAGCTCGTAATTGATTACGTTGAAAATGTGTGAACGTCTTGCAACGGTCAAATGCCCGTACTTAACAATACCGATACATTTTTTGTAGAATTTTTGTCCATTCTATATTTTGAAAATAACGTGTCAAAAGATGTTAGTCATGCAAGTGCAGTTTAGTGTTGAACCGGCAAAAATAAACAAAGAATATTCTAATTGACCGGCAAATTAATGGCTTTTGCTATTAGAGGATTTCAAGAATTTAAGCACTGCAAATATATGCTACCTTTCCTCTAAATTAGGAATGGTTTGGGCAAACGCAAATGAAATGTCGGCCAAAGCAACCAAGTTTCAACAGCCTGTATTTCACTTAACTTCGGGCTCTGCAGTTCTAGCGTTAATCGTATCGTAGCACATGAGATCAGCGCGAGCCTCGCGCACGCCAGGATTTTTGGTGTCGCATTTGTTTCTCGCTCGTATCTTATTCTCGCGTGTCTCTTTCTCGCTCGTCACATGTTGTTTTCGTTGCGACGGGAGACGGTTTGTTGAGAGTCTCGGCAGCACATTTTTGCACACACGAGGAAAATGTAACTCTGATCTCAACCTTCAATCTTTATGTTTAGGTATATCAATATCATCGAAAAAAAAGTAATCACGAAGCTCTGCGATAAGTTTCAGCTCGAAGTTCGACGATAGATTTAGAAACCATCGGTGCGAAAGTCAAAAACATAAATTGACAATCGTGATAGCAACGACCGGTGCGTAAACTGGTTGATAACTAAAATAGCAACGGCTAAAGTTGTCAACCTAGCACCGGTGCGGGTGGTCTAAGGTATAGGAGAGACGTTTTAAAACACTTATATTTTTGAATCAAGTACTTTTAATTAATTTCAGTCTTATTACGGGGATACAATGGCGAAATTTACCTATTTGAACTACTATCATCAAATATTTGAAAAACATTAAACGTCTATTGAGTACCATTGAGTTTTTATCCCCCGTAAAATTATCGAAAACAATTATAAATGCTTTAATCCTTTTTAAAACAGTTGCAACAATATTGGCTGTATACTTTTGGCATTTTTAAACACTCCCTATTTTTCTTAGCCATAACAAATGAAAAATTACAAATCTAGATCAATATTTGTGTCAACAGACGGTCATTAATAAGCAAAAAAAAACTACAAGGGACAGCCCTATGGGGTTGTACGCAATTGTGACGTAGGACTACGTGGTCTTATATAATAAATCTCATTTGTTAGCTGCTGCAGCTGTTTATACTGTTTAGTATGACGCGCTTGACATAGATGGCCCACAGCGACTCACGAAAAGCTACTGATTCCGATCAATAGTGGTGCGGCCTCTTCCTCCTTTGTGGCAAGATCGGACTTTCGGATTTATCCACTATAGTCTTAGACAGTTGAAAGTAGAATGTGAGTTTATTTTACCGGGTTCTTCAAATGAAAACTAGCATGGAGGGAAGCGACGCGTTAGGCTGTTTTGTAAACTATTTGGCGTACATACGCGCGGAATTTATTGTGTACATATGGTAGCACTTAAATGATTTCAAAATAAGGAAAAGGAAAAGGTTTTGGTGCTGACTGAGTGTTTTCTCAGTAGGTTAAGAATTTGGGTAATTGTTTCTATGTCAAGCTGAGTGAGTATTTAATTTATGATGTGTAATGGAATTATACTTTCCATGTGATGCATGGTCCGTAGTAAGGGATAAGGAATTATTCAAAAGGGTAATTTGTTAAGGGATAAGATATTATTCAAAAGGGTAATTTGTTAAGGTTAGTATTACTACACCTTCTATGGATGCTCATCTGGGCTGCAGCTCGCTGCTTGCAGGCACCCTTTCGTTGTGTACTGGAGAGCAACACCACTCACCACGCGGTGATTGAATAAACACCGTTTGGAGAGACCGGATGGATGGATTCAACTTTGAAATCTGTGTTAGGGAAATCGCTTTTCGCAGGCAATCTGTGATAATTTGAACTATTATAGCAACAGTTGTTCATCCGTGCAATTTTCAATAGTGACATTTTGAAAAATGATAAATTCTTAAATTCAACAAATGCGTAGAAACATTTCAGATCGATTGGTGATAAAATTATTGAAATTGGTCCAGCGGCAGCTGAGTTAGTAACGTTCAAAATCTTTCATAATTTTGTTACATGTTCCATTTTCGACATAGACACAGACATAGTTCTACGTCAAAAAGATTAAACGGTTATAACATTTTGTTGTACTTAACGTATTTTAGTTTAATTGGTACCAAATGAACGATCTATGTTTTTATAATAAATGAGCACAATTTCAGCTCATTTGGTTTATCATTCTCAAACATATACTGCCGTTCTACGCATAAGAGTCCCACAGTGCATAAGGATTGCATAGAACATGGGACAGTTATGCGTATAACGGCAGTATAGTAGTTTAAAAATAGGTGTTCAAAAAAGAATATTAACTGAAATTTCTCTAACTTCCGACAAACTAAATCACTTGCTCCAAGTCAGATGGGTAGAACGATGACACATTTGTAACTTTGCTCAGACTGCATTTGTTCATAAAATTGTTTCCACATTTCAGAGAAAATCCGCGTCGGACGAGATTATCAAGCCGTGTGCCCAGAACTGATACCGGCACCAGAGCGAAAGCCAGAAAACCTAAATGACCGAGCTCTGCTGGTTTGGTCTCCCACGAAGGAAATTCCAGACCCGAAACGTAAGTCTGGCACCTGCCTTTACATCATTGATCCTGATGATGATTGTTTTCTTCTCAATCCCGACAGTGGAAGAGTACATAACGGTGGCCAAAGAAAAGTACGGATACAACGGCGAGCAAGCACTGGGAATGCTCTTCTGGCACAAACATGACCTCGAACGGGCGGTGCTGGATTTGGCAAACTTCACACCCTTCCCAGATGAGTGGACCGTCGAGGACAAGGTTCTGTTCGAACAGGCATTCCAGTTCCACGGCAAAAGCTTCCACCGAATTCGACAAATGGTAAGTTCCCATCGCTTTTACAGCTTTGTTTGAAATTGATCACATCACGGTACCCAATTTCCCTACAGCTACCGGACAAATCGATTGCCAGCCTGGTCAAGTTCTACTACTCGTGGAAGAAGACGCGCAGCCGAACCAGCGTCATGGATCGGCAGGAGAAGATTAAGAAGAACGACAGTTCGGAGAACGGAAGCGACCACGGGAGCAATGAAGACTCGGACAACGACGACAAGGTGAGTCCGATCATAGTGCTAGACTAACAACGGTGTTTCCTCCACCACTACTATTACTACTACAACAGCAGCTGTAAGGGTATTTAGTTAAGTATTATTGTCATTTGCGTGAACGAGAACAGTGTGTGTTTGAGACGGAATTCGTTTGTTGAGTCTTTTTCTTTATGTGATTGATGACAGTTAGCTTTGATCCGAAAAAAAAAATGTTGTGAACTGGAAACACCTAGAAATCGTAGATAATTTATGTGATCGTCCCATCAATGTTGAATTGGTTAGTTTTGTTTCAATGTTTGTGTTCTCGGGAGATCGCCAAATCACCATTCGGCGCCACTAAGCAGGAGGACTATCTGAGGAAACTTCTTAGGAATCTTATTCGTCTGCGTTGTGAAATTCTCTCTATGCAGGGGAAAATGGGACAGTTTGGCCACATTCTGAAAATCATAACTCCATACCAAATTAAGCGAAAAAAAACGAGATAATGAAAAAAATACAGTGAAATATCGATGTTGGCAACACGACGCTAAGGTCTTTAATCTAATAATACACAATGATGTTTAATCCAACTCAAAGTTTCTTATTTTTGTAAGCATATCGAAGGAAGGACTTTTAGGAAACCGACTTGAAGATGTGCATGAACCCTGTGGAATGAAAGGCAAACAAATCTTAAGAATGCCATAAGACCATGGCGTATGAACCTGGACAATTTGGGTTTGGGTAAGGTGGGGCAAGATGGGTCAGATAGTACATTAATTAATTAATTTGTTTGTCACAATCAACAGGTTCAATGTAACCCCAATTATTATGGTTCACTTTTTTCAAATACTGAGCCTGTTCTGCTTCTTCTTGATTCCTTTACCGACGGACATCGATTCCCACCCATCGACATTGAGCCTGTGTAAATTAATCATGTAGATGACTCATCTTGCCTTAACTACGAGTAATTCTTATGCCTTTAACTTGTTCGATTTCGATTCCACTCTGCTACATTTTATATTGCTACACTGTCTATAAACGCATATCAGTCCCATACGGACTTCCGTTAGTTTATAACTCCGCTATCCACTATCAGTACTTTCATATTATGATGATCACGAAAAATGTGAAAACAACATAGAGTCAGTTTTGCCCATCAGTTTTATCCTGAAATTCAATCGTCCAGGGGTCAAGTAACAGTTCTGCTTTTTGAATTTGCATATTTTTCGCTGATATCTCGCGTCACTTTTCATATAGACCAATGTAACATATCGGCCATATTGAGAAAATCGAAGATGAAGTTCGACAGATTATTATTTTAACTGTTTAGAAGCAACACATTTTGCAATGTGGTCAGTGAATAATAACGTTGAAAATTCAGTAGAAACGGTAAAATCACATTTTACTTTCAATTTCATGCTACAATATAGGGAAAAAACACATAGGACGTTTTGACTAGTCAAGTTGTACATCAGGCATGTTACATTGGACGATTTTTCTCAATAACATAATCAATGAGTGTTACATTGGACGTTTTGTTCTACATGATACTAGATTCCCTCTCACAGATGTCAGAGTAGAGTACTTAACTTTAGATTGGCCCCGCCTATAGAAAATGACCACCAATCATGTTAGGCAGTCCAAATGAGCGAAGTTACAATCATTTATCTATCCATCATTTCAAGCTGGTCATTGGACAATTTTTGACCTATGATTATCTTAAATAGAATGAAAGTACATTTGGGTGGGTGTTTTTGTATCACATACAATGATAAAAAAGCAATAGTTTGTATAGCTTAACTCGATTTGTTTACATTTGTTACTTAGGACCTATTGAAAAGTTACGTGAGATATAACAAAACATGCAAGCTTCATTGCACTTATTCTAACTTGAAAAAATATTAATAAATTCACTAGGATTTTTCAAATATTTTCATGAGAATTACCTTGGCAACTTCGACTGCCATTTTCTTAATGCCTACTTTTTTTCAAAATTAAAGAACCCGCTTATAGGCACTAGGGTAGAGAACTACTTCGGCCTAATCGCCTATTTTGGGCCTATCGTGCAGAAAACACAAAATAATTCCATGATTTCAGAGTTAACGAGTCAATTATGAGTTTGGTACGATACTTTAGTCAATGAGAACGCGTGATATGAAGGTTTGCACCCATAATTCACAAAAACAAAAGAAGCGCTCCGATCGAATCAATTTTTATCTTCATCCGATAGGCCGAAGTGAATTCATTTGCGTTTCAATGGCGTTTCAATGCGTTAGGCCGAGTTTGGCGTCAAGAAGCAGTGTTAGACTTTTGACAATATCTCAACGATTGGTTCCTCTTTATCAAATCTTACGGTACGTACAGAAAGGTAAATAAATTTGGAAGCCATCAGTAATAATAACACTCCGTTTGGTGCTAAACTGCGCTAGATTAAGAAAGACTAAGTGCGGGTTGTGCTTAATAGGTCGAAAATGGGGTAGTTAACCCTACAGCTGACGTGTGAATTTCAATGTTTTGACTTATGAATTCAATTTCATAAGGCAAATTTAGGATTTCCATCAGAAACCCTTTTGTTGCAAATTCATAAGCATTTCTTAAGGAATTCTTACGTTCCTTTGCCATATTATTGGTGGCCATATTATATCGCTGTGAAGCAACTGTAAACTCTAGAGGGAATTTATATCTGTAACTGAAACCAGTTCGATTTTGTTTGCTAACTATGCCAACCAGTGGCAGCTTTCTATGCCAACCAGTGCATGAATTTGTGTATTGAATGGCAAGCACAATGATACTCTATGCCCAGGCAAGTCAAGAAAATTTCCAACCCGAAAGATTTCCTCGACCGGATCGGGCATCGAACCCGCCGCCACCGGCTTGGTTTGGTGTCTTTACAGACTAACGCTATTTGAGGCCCCGATGTTTTCATGTCTATTTTCCACAAAATCACCCTCAATTTCCTTATTTCTAAACAAAATTCAAGGATAAAGTCTCGCGTAACATTCGAAAATGGCATATCAGCTTTTGTAAGTTTGCCTCACTGCTACAAGGACCTTAGGTAGGAATACTATTTTGAAGAAATCATTTATTTTCAGTATAACCAACAATCAATACGAAACTAACAATTTTAAATTGGCTCACTACTTGACTAGCCTATTGGTCCCAAGCAAATCGATTAACGTGCCCCATTATTGTCGAAATTCTATTACTACACTATGTTTGTTTTGATTCGCTATGAAAGTTTGACAGATAAAATGAGGGGTTAGTGGATTTTCCTATGTTTCGAGGGGTGAATCGATTAGCTTGGGACCGAAGATAGTACCAGAGCTGAGCCAAAAAGTTGAGCACGTTTCTTCGGGACCTACTAGTCTTAGAGTTACCTCTATGGTATAACCATAGAGGTAACTCTAAGACTAGACGGTCCCGAAATAACGTGCTCAACTTTTTGGCTCAGCTCTGGTACTCTCTTCGGTACCAAGCTAATCGATTCACCCCTCGAAACATAGGAAAAACCAATAACCCCTCATTTTATCTGTCAGACTTTCATAGCGAATCAAAACAAACATTCCGTAGTACTAGAATTTCGACTAGAATGGGGTTCGTAATGGGTAAGATTCTGTCAAAACTAATAGTAAAATTAAATGAAATTCGTTTCTGCAAAAATCTGTTGGTGGGAGTACTTAATTTAAACCATCAACATAGTATTTTTGTCAATGGATGTTGCTTCTCTATATGCAAACCAACTCTATCGTAGAAACTCTCCCCTTCCGGATAATGGTGTTTTGTTTGCGTCGCTGCTCGTGTTTGCGTGGAAATGGCATTACAAGATATGTTTACTGATAGGCCCTTTTCTAATGTTGCACGAGAAGTGTCAAATTGCCGTACATGCTATTTCAAAAGTACCCAAATTTGGGTAGAATCAACACAGATCTGTTAAAACTGAACCACATCCCTGGCAAGACTGGTACTTTCTGAAGCCGCCACCGATGGTGGTGGTGTTAGTGTTGCAAACACGTTCTTAAGCTACAGTCATGTGTGCCGCATGATTATATCGCGTTAAAAGTTTTTAATGGTGTAGTAATGCTGTTATCACATCCAATTATAATGCGCTTCTTTTTTAGGCAACGATAATTCCTATTAAACACAGTAAACAGCGCCTATGGCACAACAAATATTAAACTAAATCTGTCCCGCTACTCGCGACAAACTTTTCTAACAACGTATCACGCATGAACAGAGCTTACTTGCGAATATTTGCAGCAGCTGTCAAATGTTGACGTTAAATCGAACCAGAGAACCAGGATTTTTCGGCTTCACACACAGTATAAGGGAATGACATTTGTGTCATAGATGTGAACTGAACCTACCCAAAAATGGGTAAACTGTGTTGGGAGTGACAAGTTGACAAACGAACAACATAGACATGAATCCGATCGACGTTGTTCATTTGTCAACTTGTCACTGCCAACACGGTTTACCCATTTTTGGTTAGGTTCAGTTTTGACCGATCTGGGTGAATTCTACTCAAATTTGAGTAGTTTAAAAATAGCGTGTAGCTGCTTTTGTAAAGAATGAAAAACGGAAAACTAATCCTGCTTTCAATGAAATCAATTTGTTTACTGATTCTGCATTCATAATATTTAACTGAATACGGGCCTGGTGTAAATGGTTACCATCCATGTTTCTCACGCTGAAAGACTTGAGTTCAAATCTCACCTCGCACAAGTCACGCATGACCTAAAATGTGTTAAATAAAGCAAATAAACAATAATCGTTAGTTCAACTACAGATGAACTGAAATTAAATTTTCAACAAGACGTCGTGTCAATTCTTAGATAGCTGGAACTAGGTGGTTAATTCGAATGTACACACTTAAACAGAGACCCTGAGCTCTGTAAAAAAAAAATATCGGCTTTGATCGGTAATGCTAAAAATTACAGATGTTTCGGTATTTTCTCGCTTTATTGCTAAAAACTGTAAATGAAATGACAGAATTTCGGTAATTTCATTTTGATTTAACTAAAACGGTA